ACTGATGACGTCTCACCGATTGTGACGACATTTTCAGACCCGGTCAACAACTCGACTATCACACTACAGACGTGTATGTGTGCGGCACATTCTCCGTTTGAACTTGACTTAATTTGAGGAGTTTATAGAAACTTCTCTTAAACTTTTTTCACAGGGTTTCCAATGCTACTTGCGCTCCAACCGATGTCGCTCTGAGAAAGCAAGCACCAGGTCGGCTCAAAATCTCATAGCATTAAGATAAGCAGACGAATTTTTATTTTAAGGTTTTTGTTAAATTTGGTAGATGAATTCATTCCAACTTGTGTGTTGTATAGTGTACCTATGACAATCACGAACCATATCTTTTGGAGTTCAAGAAGAGGCTGGCCTGAGGTTCTAATGGCACCGAAATATCTGAAGCTATGGCTACAAAAGTCTCACTTTTCTCTCCTTTTTACGGTAATTTCGGGTCCAAAACGTTCATAAAAGAAGGCTTTTTCGTGATGGAATGCAGCTGTCGATACACTTTTAAGCCCCGATACTGCATGGGTTAATATTGTCCACAGCCCATCACACCCGGTTGACAGTTGTCCGCGTTGCAGTTGAGCATATGCCCGCGCTATCGTACAGGTCTTACGTGATTGCGCGATGTCCACTGGTCAGACGTAAACAGAAGCTATCTGCCTTTCCGACTCACACGAGACTCCGTCGTCCTAATTATTGTTTCCCTAATGCTTCGGAATACAACGTGCCAATCACCCAATCATCTAGATAAGATGTGCACGAATCGCGGTATTCATAAAAGACGTACCGTAAAAACATTCGTTCCAAAAATGGCACTCTAAAATGAATAGGCTCTAGGCGATTCGCCTGCGAGTTGTGGACCATTACGTGATCTGTTTGAATTCGCTTGGCTTGCGTAGTTTTCACGAACCTCTAAGTAATTACAATCATAATCCTAATTCTCCCTGGTTGGACTATTTCGGTTAGTTCGCAGTGTTGGGAAGAGACAGCGGACTTGGATTTTGCTCTTTTCAGGGATGAACCGAGTTCAGTATCCCGGTCATCTAACATGAGAAATGAGGCTGCCGATACTACTTCCTTAGTGCACCCTAGGTACTCCTGAATTATCGCGCCCGAACCGGTGACTCAGTTCACACTTGAGCCACATGTATTGTTTACTTGGGGCCTCGAACAGATACCTAGTGTATGTCCACGTTATTTTTCTTATCTTGTTCGCTGCAAATCTGGTGAGTAGCCTTTCATTTTGTTGCCATTGGTTTTGACTCTGACTTGACCTCTGCCAAACGCAGCAGGGAACCAACGGCAACTAACACGGGTCACCGGAGTGGTACCAAATTTTTTTCATTTGTTACCTAAATCCCTCTATTCTTCACCCATTGGTCTTATGTGATCATTCATTTCATCAAACAATCAAAATCCAGCGTTGACCTTGGCATGCTTGTCGGTGTTTGTTGCATTCCTTTTTGCACTTTACCAATCATGTGTGCGAGTGAACCACCAGCGAGCCAGCGCATGCACACGCTTAGCTGTAGTTACACCCTCTACCGTACCTAATCAAACGTCAGGTGTGAATTGAGTCTCCTACTCAACGAATTCTTCCGTTAACTCCTGTCAGGCCTTCAGTTTGGGTCTGGTTGTATGAGATATAGACAACATAACCTGAAACTGTGAAAACCGGTGTACAGTACTGCTTATCTTCGCTGGGAACCATGGTCAGTTAGAAAACCCTTCATCCCTACTGAATTACAACCACGCGTACCCTGCGGTTCGGTCACTAGTCCACATTCTTAGACGCGCAAAATTAATGTTGGCCAGAAAAGTTCTTATATCCATTCACAAGGCTGTGTGACCTGCCTAAGCATGTTTAAATGCAGTGTGCTAATCCGATCAAACGTGTATTCTTGTGGGGCTTTCGTTTAATTTCCATGCTACCCCAAATTCATACATAGCAACGTTCCCCGTTGCAGATGGGGGTATTGAACTGTTTGATAGGGGCTTTTTTGATGTTCAACCTCCTCTCCTCAGATTTCATTCCGATCGACTCCATGACGATAGGGGCTTTTTGATGTTCAACCTCCCCCCAAAATTCATTCCGATCGACTCCATGACATAATTTATCGTACTTACCCGAAGGTGGTATTCTGCGCACCTTCAAACTCCAAAGTTGTTATCCTCTATCAGCGGGACAGAACGTGTACCGTGATGACATATTGCAACTCTGTCATGATGGTTGACAGGTTTTAGAACAAACCGGACACTGTGATCAGTCTCGATTGAAATAACATAGTCAGAGGCGCATCAAAAGTGCGGGGATGCTTTCTCTGTGGGTGCTTTAGAAGATCGCCCACCGAAAACATCCATAAGGCAGACATAGGAGGTCCTTATGGTTGTCAGAATGCTTCCAATCCGGATCAGCTAAATCCGAGTTGCAGCTTGGAGAGCCGGGTGTCATCCCTGCAAAAGATCATAGTTGACTTGAGAAAAGAACGAGTTCAGAAGCGAGAATCATTCATAACCAATTCTCTTTTTTTGGTTGTTTCATGGAAGTGGTTTACCGAGTACTTTGTGGTGGAATTCTCCTCATTTACGCCGTAGAATGGATAATAAGGCCGAAATGTGCTCGAGTAGTTTTTGTACAAAATCAATCTGCAAGGTTACCGTAGGACCAAGTCTTTGACGGCATAATGCCTTCAGAGCCGCTCTCTTGCTGAAAACGATGCACCTTTTCGATTAGAAAGAAATAATGATGCTAGAATCGATTCATTTATGCTGTTCGAGGATGGTGTATTCTGTCGAACTAACTCTACCTGAAATGATGAACCACTAGTGTCGTTTAAGATGCTGGTAATATCCTTTCTCAACAAATAAAATTGTTATTATGGAGAACTATACACACTTGCAAACCAATTTGGTTTATTGAGAGTCTCAACCGAATTTCTGCTGGATCTCTCATTTATGGTATTCTTCGACTGAGTGCCTTGCACAGTCGTCATGTGAAGTTTCAGCTGATAGGATATTCCGGATATCCAATTGTACTACCTTGACAAACGGCACCAAATAATAGTAATAATCGTTCTGCCGTGACACTTTCGATGTCTAACTGCCATGTCACCCGAAGGAAACATGAAGGTTGTGATACCGTCAGATTGCTGAAGGGCAAACAGGAGCAGTCGAGATGCTGAGGCTGAATTCGAACGTCGGTCAGTAAGTTCGTGCCCTTACTGCTTTGCAATCTCGAGGACTTTGCCACAACCGTATGAATAGTGTGTTCCGTCAGGAAATAAACAATTGGGTTCCGAAAACTGGGAAATGTGCTCTGTTGGCCCACCAGTTAGCTACTAACATGAACAAAGATCCGCAGGAATACACTGACATTGGTGGAAGTTTCAAATTCTTCATTTGCGTCCGCCTGTAGAGTTATGAACTCTATGCCACACTACTCAATGTTGACAGAATTTCCAACCCCAATCGATTGTTTTATAGGAGCACGTGAATGAATGATATAAAGAAAATGATAAGCGGACTGCGATCACTCGTCTGCTGGATAATTACTCCATCAGATGAGCTAACAGGGAGGCCGCCTCACACTGCACACATTTACAGGGATTCTGTCTTGTTTTGCGACTCATTCACCCATTGCAATAGCAGTTGTTTGTCATCGCCATTAGTGAGCCAGTTGTGCGGCTTTTCTGATTGACAAGGCGCGCCGAAACAATCCAGATACCTAGTGGACATTAAGTAGATGTGAATTTTGCGGAGATGTGAACAGGATTGGCCAAAGTTCGATCCTCGTCCTTGGCAGTTTATCCCAGTTTGCACTATGCACACATGGTCTGCTCCGTAAACTTGCCCGAATCAACCTTATTTCTGCACCAGATTGATTTATTTTAGTATCTTGGATTTTTACTGCATGGCCAGAATTTCTGCGGACACTTTTAAAATAGATGAACAGAAACAAAGCATCATCTACGTGTGATCAACATGTTCACTTCGTTGATACATTCGTTGATGGATTTCGAGACGTTCACTTCGTGATACATTCGTTGATGGATTTCGAGACGGTAAACGAAAAAGTAAACGGATAACGTTTAATTCTACCCAGAGTGTTGGAAGAGCAAGTCACACATTACTTCTTATTGGGGTGGGGGGAGTAATACGTCCCGTGATATCAGGCAACAAACCTAAAATACGCTATACCGGCATTGTCGTGCAAAATCACATAGAGCTCAACACGGTTTCGAGGGAACGCTGAAAATTCATCCTCGAACGCAAGTTAATTTACTGCGATTCCCGCTTTCCACAAATGTGACATGTCAGAGCACGAGGCAGAGATTTTCGGAGCACTATGATATAAAACTGTCGATCAGTACTCTGTGTCAGTTCTTTCGAAATATGTGATCGGATTGCGTACAACTGATTGGCATGAGGTCCATCTTCAAGTGGGCGTAGAGGTCCATTGGTTTGATAGCTTAGCACAACATGTCCAAGTAGCAGAAAACTTAATTTATCAAGATTATCCTGTGCTGACCAGCTTGGCATTTTATCTCCTCATAATTTGCACAAGTCCATTGTGGCTTGAAGCTCATGCTCACGTCGGACCTATGAGCCTACATTAATTTTCATGATCAAGAAGCCTATTTGTGTGAATCGACGTGTACGGTACTCAGCCACCACCGGGCAAGGATTTATTAAGGTCCCTCCCCTGGGTGACCGGTTTTGATTTGGTTGTACACTAGTTTGTAACTGGCCTAGAGGAACGTTGATGAGTAGGACTCTGCAATGACATAATCCCTCACTATAGGGTATTTTTCTTGAGAAGATGACCGTGTTTACGGATGGCATGCTGGGATGAAACAAAATATAAGTGTTTTGCGAAAATAAGCCCATCATGAACTTACAATTCGGTACCACATGTGACCGATGTACTTTGACTTCTTGTCCGATTTCGACACTCGATCGTTCTGGGGAAAATTGTTAACAATTCTTTCTCATTTTAGCTGTCAGAAAAGGACGAGATTACCTACTTAGGTCGTCCTAAGAAGCAGACGACTGAGCCCAGCTATGCACTGAATTTACCATTTCCTATTCCGTTAAAAGAAGATCATCTGGAAGATGGGGAGGCGTGCATGAAACAATTTACTATTCAAGCTACTCTGGTTTCTTCGAGTCGCGCTGTTGTAACCGACCCCAACCATATAGCTTTGCTACGCAATCGAGTGAGTTTCTTTCGATTACATGGTCGTCTAAATTTGACATGGTTGGTACGCTCAGTACCGAAGATTCAGCTGATAACCTTTCACTTTTTCTTTGAGCACTCTAACTACCAACTCATAATCCATGGGAATCAAAACGACTAGGTTAAAGTACGGCTATCACTCCAAAATGTGAAGTTGTGTTGGGAAGGCTTACGAATATCACACTGGAAGGGGTCAAGTTTTGGATTTTCCTTGCTACTCCATGGTAATTTTAGCCTGCCAGAAAATGTCTTGCCGGTTTTTTGTGCTTCTCTGTTCATGTGAAAAAGTTAATCTTGTTGTCACAGGCAGTCCTATGCTAGTGAGAGGAACAGACGAATAGACACACTGACAGCATCAAGATCATGTTCAATGTGGTTACAAACTCACAACTGTAATATTCCTAGTATTTTCACAGTTTGGAAAGCTTAAATGGAGAAATGAGGAATCGGAGTTTTATGCGTCACGACGATGTTGCCTACACCCAAATCATGATAAGATTATGCCACCGATAGGTTTCAGCAGAGGAATCTCTGTGACTGCGACTTTTGGCCATCTCATAATCGATGGATTTACCTGTCAGTGACTGCAGTATGTGTCATCTATTAAGATGTTCATTCTTCTCTATTCGTGAGCACAGGCATGCAAACACATGCCCCAACTCGTATCACAAAATCAACTATCCTTTGATGTAGCTCAACCAGTTCATCAACTTGCTGATTTCATTCAGTGCTTTTCAACTGACAGTTGTAAATACAATTATGGCTTGTGTGACGGAGAAGCGTGGGAACCGTTCTGTGCATCGAATACTTGCAAGCTGTCCCTTCTAGGACAGGACACATTACTGGAGACCTGAGCAAAGCATGAGACATCATGGGTTTGTTACCGGACCTAGACCCTCGTTTGTGAATAGAAACGGATGACCACGCCTGACAGGTTCGTCGGCCATCCTGAGTGATTTCCTGTCATTTAAAGAGTGCATGAATCGCAACCGTGATCACCACTTTCGGATGGACTGCAGACGTCCAGTCTCATCTCTCGGTCGTCCCTACCCGAAATTCCTTGTGCACTATCAAATGAAAACCCGTTCCTTCATTGGCCTGGGTCACTGAGTAAATCATGGGACAACGAATAATGTGTATTCGCTAACTATCGCTACGCTACTTACAGTTTCAGCCCGGCCGTTTTCCCTTTCACTACCCAACCATTTAAATATTGCTTTCTCTTCATTTCTGAATTATTTCGCATCCTGATTTATAAGCGTCTCAACTGATGGAGATTCAGACCCTATCTGAATTATTGCTTTCTGAATTATTTCGCATCCTGATTTATTAGCGTCTCAACTGATGGAGATTCAGACCCTTTGTTAGAAACAGTGTTGTCTGCAGTCTTTGCGTGAGCTCTGACAGGCTGCTGTGCAGTCTTACCAACGACTACACCGCCCTTCACAAAAGGCTCCGAAATTCACTGTTGAGGTTGTTACCGGTGGTGTGAATGTTCGCCTGGCTCAAATTAAGACGTATTCAATGTATCTCTCAGGTCGCTCAGACGTGTTCCTGGTTGATTCGAACGTGGACCAGGCAACTATCTTGATTATAATGATTAATTGATGTGCTAGGATTTGAAGTCAGACGGACGGTCTAAGCTCATCGGAGACTCTTCGATTACTTGTTGGTACTGACGGATCGGATGAACGTTTTCTCACATCTCTCTTGTTCAAGTAGCTTTCAGTCGTATGCCTAGACGGGCACCAAAGTGAGGAAGCACAAGCTGACTGACAGATCGACCGGTGTGCATAATCGGATCGTCGTTCAAGGTATCGGACAATCCAGCCCTGTTGCTAGAGCATGGACATATGTGCTTCTGCAGGAGGATGACGCAGATTCGTCCAGAGTTCAATGAGGCCTTTATGGTAACACTTGCCTTGCCTGCCGGATGTCTGACAGGCTCAAAGACATTCACTTCTGATGAGCACAAATAGGAGCGAAACTCGGGGCCAGTCCTTCCTTGCCGGCAGCAATGTTCAAACGAGTGATGTGGCTTCACGTACTTTGCTTCGCGACATGTGGTTTCTGTGATATTATGCTTTAGCTCTGCAGATGTCCCACAAACGGCAGTCAGAGGCACGATCCGTACAGAATGAGATCCAACTCTGTTCCAGTAACGGACCAAACTATTGTATATCCATGTTGATAGCGTCAATCCAGGTTTTCAGCTGTCTTTCGAGACGGCAAAGATCCCTTCGGCATGACAGAGAAGCCACTGTGAATGCAGGTTTGCGGTCAATGTGTTGTTGAATGCTTTTAGAGCACAGCTACTCAAACCGAAGGTGACAGCCTAGTGACTTGGGTCGTGAACCCGACCGCTACCTGGATTCGTATAAATCCTCAGTTTGGCAGTCAGTCGTCCAGCGCGCACGTGACATCTTACCGGTGACTTCACTTTGTTTTGTTCTATGACTGAAATCACCCGACTTAATGCTGATATTCCAGCATAGGATCTGATCAGTTTTTGTGTTGAGTAGCTCAAGCAGTTGGTATTTGGCCCTACCAATGGGTTGGTGTGGGATTCTTCGTTTCCAAAACGATGGATCGGTTCCACCAACATGCCTTTGGACTCTGAAATTAATCGGTTCTACCCAGTCATCTGAAACGGATTCATTCTCTGAATGATGAATGAGTGCCCCATCACATTCAGAATAATCACAACTTAGGAAACTTAGATACTCCACACAGAGCCGAATATATTCGACTTCATTCGCAGTGACTTCCGTGCCAATATCCTCAAAAGGAATGAGTGACACTTGAATGCTTCTGGTAGCTTGGTTAATCTGCGCTGAATTTCAGCGGTCATAGGTTTAGATTTTCTTTTTCTACTGTAAATCTGAAATACTTGATCCCAGGGAGAGAGTTCGTGATTATCAGACTATCATTGTATCTGAGTTCTCGTCTTTTTTATTCCAGGGATTTTATGGGTACGTCCCGGATGAAGAACATATAAATCAGAAATACTTGATCCCAGGAAGAGAGTTTGTGATTATCAGGCTATCTTTGTACCTGAGTTCTCGTCTTTTTTATTCCAGGGTTTTTATGGGTACGTCCCGGATGAAGAACATGGAACCCTGGATCAGCAGAATGAACATCAGAGGTCAGTGGTACCGTTTCTTTTGCCATCTACAGTAGCTAGTTGACGCACATTAAGGTACACTTCTATAAAGTTTAATGATAATTTCCGCGCATTGAGTTGCTCACTAACAGTAGCCGTTGCTTAGTTCTTGCAAAACACCTGTCTTGTCAGTAGTTTATCTCGTCCTGGAAGTCAACCAATATCGAAGTGTTTGGGTGAATTTAATTCACCCGAAAAAATCGACAACTCTAAACTACTGGACATTCTCAGTAGATGACTTTGTTCGCAAATGTACCTCATGAACACTCTTAATCTGGGTATTCTCCGTAGGTGACTTTGTTCGCAAATGTACCTCATGAACACTCCTAATGGGTTAAATTTAAATGTTGACTCATCCAACTGACTGAACATTTCACCCCTGCATACATACTGGCTCAGACAGTCTCCTTGTCCTGTTAGCTAAGCTCAGCCACCCTAAATCGTCTGCCGTGGCGCAATGGTAGGACGTCTGACTCCAGATCAGAAGGTTGTGTGTTCGAGTCAAGTCGGGCTCATCGTACCTTAGGGGACGAGATGGTCCAAGTGGTCAGGGCGCGAAATTGCTGACTGGAAGGTCCGTGGTTCGAACCCGACCTCTGCCTTTCGACTTCGCCTGTCTAGGCTTGGGCGACCTGACAGTATCCCAGCTCTCGTGCCTCCTTCGTGTGGCATGGCAGCTAGGCACCGAAAGGGTGCTACAGCTGAACGATTTTTTTCTTTACGCCACAAAACCACAAACGCCGTTCAACATAGCTCACGTGATTGTTGCGTGCATTTTCCTACGTTGAATCGGTCACCATGAAAATCAAACGAAGGGCTCTAGATTGCTTTTAATCCTGTCCTGCTTATAAAAACTGCCCTCCTGAGTTGGGACCTGTAGATGTCGCAGCCTCAAGTTTAGGAGAACTTTGTGCACCCTAAGGGTGAGTTTTCAGCGTACAAATTTATGGCAGAGTCAGATAACCGCATGTAATACCTTTAAGCAAGCATGAATGCACTCGGACAGAAGGTATTAATCAAGTCATGAGGCTTGGCCTTGAACGATTTATTACCAAGGCATTACCAGCAAGATATCTGGTCACACCGGGGGGACCATAATTATCGTAGGCTTTATTAAAAGCGGACAACAATTCGAATTGCTCTCGTGTCTTGTGGCAGTACAATGACGCCGAGCAAGGCGATTTGAAGTGGGTCATGGCCATCCGCAAGAACACTGAGCAATGTCTGTGAGTGAGAAACATAGAGTTCGTTGACCAGAGCACTCCGCTGCTTATTGAAACGTGTCTCAGTGACTGGCAAAAGAAAAGCAATTCTCCTGGATGAGCTTGCGGAATAAAACGCCGTAACAATACATCCATTATGGAGGATACATGTGGCCTCGAGCCTTATTAACATGCTTTGTGGTAAGGATAACGTTCTTCGTCTGGATGGGTAAAAGGTTCGTCGTCGGACTGTGATGAAGACTTCCGCCGTATGATGGGACCAACTGTGCTTTCGCGCTGTAACCAACCGCAGTTACTTTTGCTGCTCAATTTTGAAAACAGAATGTTTTTAGATGTGAGGTCTGGAAGCTACTCATAAGGTTGCTGAAAACCCTTCGATAGCCCACGACCGGTTTCGCCCTTCTTGGGGCTCATCAAGTAGGCGCAGTCCCCGAGTTTCCGTCAACCCTATGTTCGGGGAAAATATACTGCGATATGTCGAATATCGTGCCGATTTAATCATAAGGCGGCCTGTGTGCAGCACGTTCAGTTGTAGACTATCATAAACGAGAGATTCGGTTGAGTTTGCTACTTTATATTAGTTGTTGGATGAGTCGAAAATAGAATGCTTGTTCCGAGGTTTATGCCACTGATACTTCTGGCAGAGTGGGTAATCCATGGATGTAAACGAATGCTCTTATCGTTTCCTAATACAATTCAAGGTGCAACAAATAAATTCAGTGTCAAGGACATAAGAATTTAGTCTACAATTCTCATTAAAGTGTACTTTCGAATTACTTGACGCTAGGCCTTACATCGTGAGCTATGCCATGACGGATGTGTTGGTTACCCATTCAAGGCACATACATTTTTGAAGGGTGACTACTCAACGCTATCAAGTAGTGTAAAGACTGCTCACATTTCTTACTATCGGAACGCAATCAGTTGGGCGCATTTGGGGATGACTTAGTCAGCTTAAACGCGGTTGAGCTTTTTGAGAGTATTTGGGGAGAACCGTTGCGAAGCGCATCACCATAAGTTGGTTTTATGCGCTGCTACATTATTTAAGTGTCCTTCAGAGTGACACAAGGCTGTGCTTTCTCACCCCGGATCGCACGGCCCAGGAAGTTCCGCGTCCAGGGTTACTTGTTTACCAGTAGTGGACTGAATAAAGGTTTTGAGTACCTGCTTTAAGCTGTTTGATACTCCACTCCAATTCTTGTTTTTGAAGGAGCATGAGCAAAGCACTATAGTTCTGCTCATAATCGTCTAATCCAATCATGTGGTGTTAATTTTGCTATTCTTTATTGTTTGAATTATAAATTGCATTCCATTTCTTGCAACAGACAACTGGATGGGAGAACCGTTGCGAAGCGCATCACCATAAGTTGGTTTTATGCGCTGCTACATTATTTAAGTGTCCTTCAGAGTGACACAAGGCTGTGCTTTCTCACCCCGGATCGCACGGCCCAGGAAGTTCCGCGTCCAGGGTTACTTGTTTACCAGTAGTGGACTGAATAAAGGTTTTGAGTACCTGCTTTAAGCTGTTTGATACTTCAATTATTTGGCTGTCTTTGAGACCAGATCATTTTCGAAGGGGCATGAGCAAAGCAGTATGGTTCTGCTCATAATCGTCTAACCCAATCATGTGGTATTATTTTTGCCACTCTGTTGTTTGAGTAATAAATTTCATTCCATTTCTTGCAACAGACAACTGGATACGGACGAAGAATCCCTAGAAGAATATGACACACTCGATGATTCTGCTGCCCTCGTCAATTCCAAGTGTACCGAAGACAAACAGCTGTTTCTAACTGATGTTGAAGTAAGTATTTACCCCATCTGTGATGTGATACACCTCTCTCGAGTTTACGGTAGTTAGGTTTTCGAGGTTCCGTATTTCACTTTCAATATCATTTAAAATTCCGAGGCGTGTTGTGGTTGACATGCTTATGGGGCTTATTTTTCCTCCAGGAGCGAGATGGCCCAAGTGGTTAGAGCACGAATCTGCTGACCGGAAAATCCGTGGTTCGAACTCGACCTCCGCCTCTCGACTTATCCTGTCTGGGCCTGGGCAACCTGACAGTATCCCAGCCCTCGTGCAACTTTCGGGTGACATGGCAGCTTGGCCCTGAAAGGGTCCTACAGCTGAACGATTTTTTTACCCTATTATCCCTCAGCATACGGTGGCACTTTACAGTCGGTTCGCATACTAGTTTAAAGTGCCTGAAATAGTCAATACATATTTGTGGTCGTTGATCCTCGTATAACTTCTTTTTTAGGGCTTGGGATGAAGATATTTTTCGTTGTCAACACGTTTCAACGAATGTCCTGGATTTTAGTCCGTAGCTGATCATAAATACCTCCAAAGGAATGTAATTGATGTTTCTATACATATGTCCTAATTCACGTTATTGTGTCTTTTTGTTCAGTTTGAGAACAGGCATATTCATTGATTCCGACGCTTTATTGTCTAACTTAAAAATTCGGGCCCGTAGGAAGCTGCGCTTTGGAATTTAACGTCCCAGAAGGTTACCTTTAACATACGCGCACCTTGCGCCTCAGATGCGCGTCCTTCTACCCTTTTCCGCATCTGAAGGTCGCAGGACTCCAAACGACCAGAACACTACCTATATGCTCACTGATGCAGAGGAAATCGAACGGGCGAAACACTTCGTTTGTTTAATTTTTGGCTCTTGACCAACTGCATTAACTGGAGAAATGTTCCTCGTGAAAACCATTCTGATGAGTTCACACAGTAGGAGGGGGGAATCACTAGACTCGAGTTTCGCCCTCATTAAAGCGAATAGACAGCGCACAGCCAATGCCCATTCTTGGGTTTGAACTCAGCACATCTGACACGTGAGGCGAGTATGTTACTACTACTCCACCAGCAAGCTCTGGACTCCGAGTTTTTACGTCTGTACAGGGGATCATGTTCGCGCTTGCGTGATGTAAGCGGAATACCTGTGAAAAGTTGAACGTGCCGAAATCAATCTAACCACTGTGGCAGCATTGTTAAGATTATCCTCAGAAAGGATGCTGAATACAATCGATGGTAGGAAGGGCATCCGGATGCTACCAAAACGGATGGCAAGTTCGAGTGGACCAAGGATTTTAGTTTGCTTCCCTCCCTTTTCACCTTTATGTGAAGATCAAGGTGACGAGGGTTTTCCAATTGTTCAGTGTTTCCCGCAGTGTGCAAAGTGCAGTAAGCCGGTGCAGTGAAATGTGTGCTGTCCTGGTCTGGTACAACCGGATGTGATTAACTTGCTTTGGCTTCCGCCGTTGGCCATAAGTCGAAAGTCCACGTCATCTGAGGACAGCAGGCCTTCCGTGGAACGGTCTCATAAAGCTAATGAGGAACTGTCAACAACCCCCCGCACACACATGTATATACATACAGACCGTTGTTGAAGCGTAGCACCGGAATTCCGGATTTTCTGGAAGTTTTCTACCGTTCAAGCCAAAACTTGAGAATGTAGAAGCCTAATTTATCGTGATTTGATTAGCTTCTTTATATGAATCAGTGAATCAGACCAAATTTCCAATAAAACCCAGTGGTTTCTTTTATCGGGGATTGGCAGTCTGTGTTGATTTTTTCGACCACTCATAAGTAGTAAAATCTCCATAGGTCTATCAATCAACCATCTTGAAGCTGATGAAGTAAACATATCTACCGAAATCGCACAGTAACATTGTCTTCCTAAGAAAACTTACTATTGCTTCTTCTAGTAAGTAGTCCTTAGACTTAATAAGTGCACTACGATAAATCTGATATTTGGCCCAAGTTCGTCACTGTCTCCAAAATGTTTGCAAGACAGATTTCTTAAATGTCACTGTCGTGAAATCCACCAACCGCTTCTGTCTTTGATTGGAATTCGGCATTGATTAGTAACTTCGAATTACATGCGGTTACTTTTCTTGAGTGGGTAGGACCCCAGTGGGGTTTCAGGGTCGATCAAAGTACCACTATAAATGAGTTTTGAGCGCGACATGGCTCTTTCAGATTTACGCCACCTCAAGCGTGTAGCATATCGGCATATGTTTGTGCATCTCATGCACTACTGATCAGTATTACTCATCTCCTCCGGCCACATATCGTGCCTAGTCAGAATACAATCCGTTCCGTTTGTTTACAGATTCTCTTTCTTTTCCACGGTCTTGGTTGCTTGGACATAGTTCTACCGAACTCAGAACAATCGGAGACCGACAGCGACCTCACGGATCCAGTGAGTCTCCTCATAAGCCCTTGTTGAATGTTTTCACAACTGCTTGTTACATTCTGTGTTTTGCTCATCCAGAGTGCGGGGACTCAAATTAAAGTCGTCGATCAAGGGGAGCGATACGATCAAACTGGGCAACTTTCTTATTTAGTTGCCGAGTGACATTTTTTGTGCTATTGTGAGGTTGTTTTTCTTCCGTTCGCTTGTGAGGCAGACGGTACATTACTGATCTCACAGGCTTGTCAGATGTTTTTGTATGACCATATCATTAGACGCTTACACCTTTTACGTCAACCCTCCCCTTGGCATGCCCGTATATCCAATGTTCCATGAGCATTGAATTCATAAGATAGTGTTTGGAGATAGCGTTTACACCGTGTGACTACTCTCCCCATGTCAGCCCCGCAGCTGACTGGCGAGAGAACCTCTCAGCTAGAACCAAAACAAGCCATTTCTAGTCGAAGTCTATCTACAAGGACACTTCACTTTATACCCCCGTTTGCATTATTATCAGTTAAATATGCCGAAATTCGGTTGCCAGTTAAATGCTTGACCATACAGTCTACACGAAGCAACATGTGCTATCATGAACTTCTATCAGTTTCCACACTGCTTACGCCTCTTATGGGACCATGCTTGCTAGTGATGGCACGTTCACAAATACCTATGATAGTTGTTTACGGATATATCGGCGTGGCCCTCCTCTCCCTCTCGGGCACATTCGATAAGAACAGAATTTGAAGGAGACCTGCCTTTATCTAGACATAGCACACTACTCATAGGGTTGCTGAAAACACTTTGACAGCCCATGACCGGTTTCGTCGCTGTTGAAGCTCACCACTTAGGCACATTCAGTCAATATCATGTTCTACTTGAACCTAAATTGGGCGAAAGTCATCAAGTACTCTAACTTTCACCCGAGTTAGATTTTGACGAGGACTCCAATGAATTCAGCTGACTTTCTCGCTTATGGAGAGAGCCGCCATATACGATATATTCAGCTGGATTCAGTTGAGTCTCTCGGGTGGGAGTAATTGGCAAATTTCCTTCGTCTAATTCTAGTCCAAAGCCATCCAGGTATTGTGGCTAGATAGATTATTATTTTCACTTGTTCATTACTAGCCGTAGAAACTCTGTCGGATTCGGGCATGTGGGACAGTGGTCTTCATCGAGGCTGTCACCACTGAAACACCTACATGCCATTCATTCTATCTTTCTGGGTGTGTAACAGTCTCAGTTCCCGTTTTCTTCTGGTTTCAACCATTTTTCACTTGTTTTTACCCTCGGCACGGGTAACTACAATGAATGACATCATGTTGGGAAATACAACCAACTAAAGACTGTGTAAATGATTTTAAAAGGAGTATATCCTTCATTTTTATAACGGCATCCAAATGGTTAGTGACAAGGTATCCGCTTATTCTTTTTCGTTTGGCCGATGCTCACTAGCTAATGAGAGTCTCAAGCTGACTTTGAGGGATGAGACTATTCGGGTGTATTCAGATCTACCTTGGTATTTCCTTCGCCAATTCCTGAGTATTTTGCCCTCCATTTTTCAGCTCCGCTTGTGGTACTATTTGTGCTCCGGTTCCCGCTTGCCATCTCCTCCGGTACATCCGACACAAGCACGAACAGAAATTCCTCAGTTTAGTCATTTGGAGCGCGACCTTCTTCGGCGTTACGCGGCCTACCTGTATTATCGCAGTCGTGGGTGGGTTGTTCGTCCTGGTTTGGCTTTGGGTGGAGTTCATTTCCTTCTCTATGCACAAGGTCCTGCTTGGCGCCACGCTGCATTTGGCGTGGTTGTAGATCGTGCTGAAATGGATGGTCAGCAGCTGACGTGTGCTGCTTTGGCTGTCCACGTTCGGGTCGTACATTCAGTGGGAAAGGTAAGAGAAACGACATGTGTGCTTAGTTCTCAAATGAGATATTGTCCTGTGAGTGAAGATGATCTAGGCTGAAAAGACTGTAAGCACTGCACAGCTGTTTGATTCTTATTGGGAGTCATCAACAGTGCGCATCTAACGAAATTCAAAGGATGTCGAACTCGCGACCTCCCGGGTGATATTTTGAACGACCGCAAGCGGCTGGTTAGCGGTGTGATTAGCCCGCAGTTGGCGAGAATATGGTGCCACTTGTCTTTCGTTTACGGAATCCACGTCAAGAGGTCACTGGTTACTCAAGCAGCGACTTCTTAAATTGAATTTCTCCCGTTTCGTAAAACTATTCTTCCTCTGAGCGCCATTGTTAGTCTTTATTTACGTTAGTCTATGGAAATTCGGCTTATTCCACAGTACATTTGAGCTGTTCGAACCCTGTGCATATTTCGAGCCGGACCTGTTCTTGAGACTAAGTTAGGCGTGTAGTGCATTCATTCCTTCCGATCATATGATTCCCCGTTGTACCAGAACTTCCTTGGTCTTCCTAGATGTGTCCTCATGTTTTCGTACTAATAATGAATGCACTGCGATTTGTTGGGCCTGGCTTCGCCTTCGTATGTTGTATTGCTAGTGGTTCACAAGAAACCGTTCCGGATACCATTTCTTTCGGTTGACCCCCTGGAATATCAGTTTCACCAACTCAGTTCTTGTATCTTAGACCTCTGGGTAGCTATGATGAACTTTTGGTTTATTGCAATTAGCAAGGTGTTTTGACGATCACATCTCGCACTAGTGGTATCCATATTTGCGCAATTGCGTCATTGCGAAGCCTCTTTATGGCTACTGTCGGTTCCTGTAGTTTTTTTAACCACGAAACCTACCCGGTTCAACACTTATTGAAATAATTTTGTTCCTAAAAGCGTGCTACAAAAATGGCGTATTCTTGTTTTATGTAAAGTGTAAACGCCGTCATATTCGCACTTTCACGACCCTAAATATCCACATGTTTTATCAGAGGAAAAACGCGGGTTCGGTCTTTACGGAGATTTCTTATCACCTTCATGGTTCATATGCCATTCATCAAGAAACCGGTCGAAGCGCGATTCGTACGTTGTATGGTCAAGGTGGTTTCGACCACTGTCCAGGTTATACGGGTTGGTTTCGGGCTAATTAACGAACAAATAAACTCTTTTTATTCCCTCCCTGCCTGTGCTTTTCTGGTCACCTCCGCATCATCTAGTGCCGTCAATTTGGCTAACGAAAAATATGAACTGTTGTTGATTAAACTAGCTAGCTTATACCTAGCACTTCACCAGCCTGTGAATCAGTTAGCAATACACCTCGTGCACATTAGACCTGCAATGAATGCGGTTATCAACACAACATGAACTAAATTTGGGCCTCCGCCAACTAGCTGGGTGCAAGATGACATCTGAAACTGCACAGTACTCCGCTGTTGGTTATCTGGATTAGAATCCAGTCATTTCGTTTTATCGTTTTGGCTTTGAGGTGCCCGTGAGGTGGAGCAGTTGACGCTTTAATGTGGCTGATTACTAAATGGCTTTCCCCAGGCGCCTAGTCTAGTCTGCTTTGTTCGACCAAGGTCATGTCAGCTTTGTCTACTTTAACGATATTGTAAACAAATTTTTACTACGCTCGTTGCTGGACTAAAACGTTTACGAACAGGTGAATGAAACTAAGTAGTTATGAGACCCATTTAGGTTTTTATTCACACCACGTTTAGGTGAACAGTCCTTCGGATTCGACGTTTATAACATGGTCGGACGATGCCGCATTGAATGCATTTGTTGCGAATTTCGCTTCCTAGATAACCAGACAACGGTGGAGCCCACTGAACTCCTCACCATATATTCATGTGTAATTCGGTCTTCTATCCAACGAAATCAAATGGGGTCTTGTATACTGTTCGTTATAGTTTTGATCCTTCACTACGTTTACACTGGTGTGATTGTACCGCCTAGCAAATTCGTTTGTACCCTCCAAGTCAATTTTCTGTAAGCGTGACACTGCTAGTCTAGCTGTTTAAAAGAGCAGTTCGTCGCAGACATTCACTTTTTACACGAACAAAGAGTTATCTACGCCATTATCCGTAAGTCACCAGAATGTTTCAGAAAGAGCAGAAAACCACCTGTTGTTTGATGAGAACAGAAGGGCGAATTTTTCGGCAGGTTTTGACTTTAGGCTTTGTATAATCTGTCAATTTTTTAGGAGAAACATTCGGTGGATTTGCGAAACAAATTCTTGCGCACGGTCCTGGTGTTGCGCTTTACAACCGCCGGAGGGGTCCTTAGCACACCCCTGGAAGGTTTACCAACTTATTCGTAACTGAACACATCTTTATTAAATTTCATCACAGAGTTGACAAAAGTTGAGTCCTTTGTCAGGATTGCTGAATATCTGACCACTCGGACTTGGTTAAGGTG